TCATAAAACATTTTATGGCATAAAACAAAATGTCATAAAACATTCCCTATGGTCAACTCCTGAAGTTTGACTGTGCTATACAGTTCAATATGAACGACATGGGCTATTTTCAAGGCAGATACAACTCTGAATATCTTCCTGAATTTTTAAGAATTTTCAAGTAAAGGCAGTACACTAGAAGCTCTGCCGTTGTTGAAGTCATTGAGGAATCTGGGAAAGAAATATCTCTGAAACGATGACCCAACAGGTCACGGGTTGTCTAGTTCTTACCAATTGTGGCTCCTACGAAGAATAGTCCCTGGGGGATCAAATCTAAGGTGCATCTGTGTAGCCAGATGTTCCCAAGATGGCTACTACAAAGATATGAAGCAACAAATCTCCCTGAAATACCACTTTCTCTAGCTTGGTGCTCTTCAAATTGGTCAGGACTAACAGGTTGTGGAAGGATGCTGTAAAAGGTCTCTCACATCTACTATCCAGGAGTCAGCCATCTCTGAACCCAACAGCTCATTTGGATTCCATGACTTTGATTGACTGGCATCAGGGGAAGGAAGAATTGGGGTTGCCACTTTTCATTCTGAACAGAGCTCCTATGCTTCTTCTGCCGGGAGTAAAACACTTTCAAACGCTTTCTCTCATCTGGTTCCCTTGAAATTTGCTTGGCTGTACAGGCTGGGGAATGTAGTCCAATGCATATGGAGAGTAAGTGGTGAGGGAAGGATGCTTTAAACAAAGATATAACCAAAGCTAGTTTACACCATCACTATTCACTATACCTCTCTGTATTTTTTAATCCTTGTAAACCATGCCTGTTTCGGTTTGCACAATGTCTTTCATTTTTCAGACTTCGCACCTTTCAGGATCTCACCAACTAACAAACCACCACTTTTCTGGTTCTCCACTTCCTCTCAACCTTTTACCCTTCCTTCACATAATTATTTTGCAACTTGATCCTCGTTCAACTTACTTCTTTCATACTGGACACTCTTGTTTGTATTCAATTCACATTAATTCACATCCATTCATTCTTGACCCTATCACTTCATCTTGTATCACCCGCACTTCCTGAGTACCTCACTCACATTATATTCAACCTTTTATGTTTTGTCAGAGACGCTAGCTTAGTAAATAGGAGCACACTATTATATCCAGCCATTTTAGCTTCCTTCAACAACATTCAATCCTAGCAACAGATCACACACAACTTTCTACCAGTATTTGCATATCTTTAAATTACTACATCCATTTCCACATCTTTAGTAAACATAGCAGAAAGGCACACAAATTCATCCACTTGCTCTAATGTTTCATTGGTGTTTCAACAAACGCAATGGCAATTGCTCACTCCATTTCCTCTGCCAAAAATTACCATCTTGGTCTTAATTTTCAGATCCATACTCCTTGTTGTATCACATAATCTATCAAACATTCACCGCAAATCATTTGGATTCTCAATCTATAGCATGGCATCACTCACATAAAAAAAAAATACAGATACAGTCAATTCTAAGCAACAATCCTCTAACTTTACTACAACTATTCCTTATAACTTTCCATAAAAACATTAAGCAGCCAGTGGGATATCACATATGAATAATCTTATGCTTAAAACAGTGTTCAAAATAGACCTTTTCCTAAGCAGATACTCATTAATCACCATTCTCATTAATTCTTGGGTCTCTGAATAGCCTGATCACTTCCTCATTCTTATTTATCCCTTCTTGTCACTTAACAGAGTTCTGGCCCCCGATGCCACCCCCCCATTGCATTCATTCACAAGGTTGCACAATTTCCCCCAAACTTACCTCCAGTTCCTTCATCATCATCATTCACCAGTACATTAAAATGCAACTATTATAAATCTATGAATTCCTAGTTTCATACACAGCCATAACAAACTTAGATGCACTGCAGTTTTCTAAGACACATTTTACCCCCTTCATTCATTAGCAAACCTACATCTTTCTGTATGTATTCATCAACTCCATTGTACAAGATCAGGTCACTTCATTTATATCTTTTACATCCTTCCCCTTTCTCTTAGTTGCCTAGATACACAACATATCTCTCACACACAACTCCTCTTATATTTCAAGTTGGAATCTTTGATATGGAACCGATGTCCCCAGATAGGCCCATTATGGCATTGGTTAACTGAGGCTTTCACATAATGCATTTTTAGTTAGATAGAGAGGTGCAGACTGATTTCCCAGCCTTAGTTGTTCGCATGACACATGCAGCATTCCACGCTAGCAGTAAGCACAGGAGTATCAGTTCTGGCACAATTTGGCCATAATGCTACAAGCGGAACCAAAACCCAGTTTTACCCCAAGTATGCCCATTCTGTTTTGTGCAAGCTAGACTCTTTAAATGAGACTTACAAGACAACATACATTGTCTGCATCTCACCAACTAGAAAGCAATGTAGTGTAAAGACACACACAGACATACATACACACACACACACGTCTACATAAGAGTTGGCTCTATTCAGGAAGAGGTCCAGGTCCAGGTAGCAAAATGTGTGGTATTGCCCGAAATTCACCAGGTCTCACCAACATCATTTCTCCATTGCTGCAGTGACTGGAGATTCCTCCCCCCGCCTTCCTGAAATAAAGGTCCAGGTGGGTGGGTGCTACAACCACAAGAACAACAAAGAAGTGAATGGTCAAAAGCCAACACCTTCCCGGTTCGGTCCGAAAAGAAAAAGACCGTAAACAAAGAAGAACTCCTGCCTTGGCCAATGGCAGTAGGGCAGGAAGGTATCAAGGGCGTAACGGAACCAATCAGAAGAAGGCAGGTAGCTTGTGAATGGGGAAGGCCGGAGAGGGAGTCGCCGCGCGGTGATCCCGCTTCAGCCCTTTCAGGGGGGATAATTAATAAATGCGTAACGTTCCGGCGAAGGCGACCGAGGCTGTCGATCAAGGCGGGACTGAAGAGGATCTTCACCGCGAGCCTGGCGGTGGAAGCCGAGCAGAGCAGAGCAGAGCAGAGCGAAGGAAGTGGTGGGAGGGGCGCGTTGGCAGGCAGCTCTGCTGCAGCCGAGTAGAAAGTAACTTTGCAAGGCGAGGCATGGCCGCAGTAGGAAACCTGGTGATGATCCGCCTCTGCGGCCAGGCGCGCCGGCTTTGAGTGTCCCCCGTCTTGCGGGCAGGAGACGGCTGGCGGTGCACGGACAGGAGGGCGCCGACAGCGGGGCACGGCTGGCCCTCGGAGAAGCGCAGCCTTCGCGCGCACAGCCAGCGTCGGCGCAGCAGCAGGAGGAAGGGAAGGCGCTCTGCTCGAGCGGCGCGGGAGCTCGGGCGCGGGAGGTGCTGCGCCGTCGGGGAGCCTCTCCGCAGCCGTCACGGGCGAGGACCCTGGCTCGGCTCTGACTCGCTCCGTCCGCGAGCGCAGAGGCTGCCGCCTCTCGGAGTTGGTCCGACGACCGCAGGCAGGAGGGGAGCGCCGAGGAGCGCACCCGCCGCTCGGGAGAAGGCATGGAGAGCGCGCACAGCCTGACCGCCGAAGAAGTACTGCGGCGTTTCGGGGTGCGGGAGAGCTGCGGGCTCAGCGCCGAGCAGGTCCGACGGCACCGGGAGAAGTACGGGGCGAACGGTAAGGAGGCTGGAGCCGGCCCGGCCGCTGAAGGTCGCCGGTCCGCGGTGCGCGGAACGGCGCGGGTGGGTGGGTGGATGGATGGATGGCGGCGCGAGGGAGGGTCGCTTCGAGCAGAGCCGCCGAGAGCGCCGGCGATGTGGGGGTCGCCTGGCGCGGACTGTGGTCGCGGTCGCCCTCTCCGGCTCCGAGGAGCGTGGAGCTCCGCCGGCTTAGGCGGAGGAGGAAATCATTCGCCGAGGCACCGAAGGCACCGGCGCCTTGCCGGACCGAGCCAAAAGGTCCAGGGTCAGGCGGCATCGCTTTTCCCACGGTGGCCGGCCGACCGGCGGCAGGACTCCCACGGGCACGCCGGAGGGGGGGGGGGG